ATCACAATAAGGTAGCTAAAAGAAAAGCCCATCTCATCCTCAATGATAAAAGTGCTTTGCCGGGTTATACCCAAAGTTCAGCCAGAAAGGGTTCAACCGAAAGAAGAAACACTTCCCGACAGGGTGTTCGTAACGCGTTCGATCCCATCGCTGTTGCAACCCGGGCATTGTAGTCAGCCAATTGCCATCTGGAAACGGGTCCCTCGGTGAAGGCGGGCCAACTAAGTACTTACGTGCAACTACCTAACGGCGATCGTCTACCCTCGCTAGCATCGCCCGCGCATTACGCCGGGCAACGAATCAATAATACCTACGCATACGCGTTGCCCGGCCGTCTTCCGTATTCTATTTCTACACTGCGACCAAGCAGAGAGAGATCCGATCGGCCGCATCTTCGCGGAAATTTATGCAAAGGAACGCTTCGTGCGGCCGCCGCCGTGCCGTTAGCAGGTGATGAGGGGTTGGGGTGGATGGATGAGCGCGCGAGAACGGAGAATGAACCCGATTCCGTGACCCCCGGGATCCCCGGAACGCCATAAATCACGGATAACGATTGGCAACGGAGAATCCTACCGAGTATCCCGTAGTGTTTCCGGCGGGCACGAGCCGTGATCGTGTACCGCATCGCAAGGACTCCGGTGAAATACGGGGCCGCGGCCGTTTCCCGTTATTTTTCACGAACCGGCCAGGAATAAAACGCCGACCGATGGATAAATTTATTATGCAAATAGACGGGTCTCGAGTAACGAGCGAACGAAGCGAGAACTTGTTGCGTGTTGCCCGCGGAACGGGCTCGACGAGGTTTCGCGCGATGCCGATGCGATTGTGGTTTAATGGGAAGCTTGTCGAATGAGCATCGATATTGATATTTTTTTAGTTTCCGTTTTGTTTTAACACTACACGTACCGCGACCGATTAAATGACCGGTTTTCAAATTTGATTAAAAATCCTGTGTTTTCTTCTGTCCGTTTAACTTCATATTAGTTCTTATATTGTCAGATTAATCAATTTTTTAATTTTCATCTGTCCTTTTGCTTCTATTTTCCCTAAGACAGATCTGTCTTTTAATTTGTTCATCTTTATTTTATAACCAGTTATTTGATCGGTTACAGTAGGAATCGGTGTAGGATAGACAGGCGAATCGGATCAGTTCAGATTTAATGGCGAAAAGCTATAGTTAAAACTTAGGATCAACATTTTTTCAAAGATTTCTTATTAATAGACATTCAGCTTCAATAGCAGTAAAAAACTTGTTAAAAGACTTAAAAACCTTTGTGTTATAAACAGGAAACTGAAAAGTGGGAAATATCCGATTCATCCCGAGATTTTGGGCGATACAGAAGATGTATTGAATTAATTGTAGGGAAGGTGTATGAAGTGATATAGACAGTCAGCATGCTGATTTCTATAATAATGTAATATACATGGCCAATATTACTTTTCGCATTTAATACTCTTTATTACTCCGTTGCTTTATCCGCGCGCCACGTAAATTAGTTTCGGTACGAAATTATAGAGTTTTTTATGTAATTATGAAATACGAATACCTATCCGACACCACTAAATTCCTGGGTTTCGCTGTTGCGTAGAAATTATTAGATAACGGCGTTTAATAAAATGCCGCGATGCCGGATAAATGCAAATTCGGTTTATCTGTAACGGCTTATTGCGTTCTTTATTTCCCTTGGCTACCGAGTTTTCTGTAATAACAATTTCGCCATCGTTAAACAGTAAATCCCTGATATTGTCGGGTTAAAATCCGAGTCCTCCTTTCTGCCGGCGTTCGAAAATTTGGTGTGTCTAAATTTACTTTCCCTTTTTTTAGAATCAGAAAATATCCATTAAAATTAAAACCAGGATACGCGAGAAGACGCATATTCCGGTTTGAAACGTTAAACGGCAAATCATGAAGTTTACCCATGAGCAGTAATAATACCAACTGCGTAGCTGGCTAAACATTTTCCTCTTTATTTTTCTCTCCCATACATTCGAACCATTATATTCTTCGCATAAAAAAGCATTAACATATATTTAAAAAAATATAATAATGAACATGAGCTCGCCGCTTATAGTCGTGTCGAAGTCAAAGCTTTTATTTTCGCTGCATTCCTTTTCACTTTTCCTACCATTTTTAAACAAGTGTTGAACTTCCATTAAAGCTTGGTGCACCGAAAAACATTCATGCTAAATATTTCGTTCCGACCGTACGCTTTTTAATTGGAAAAAACATGAACTAACACCGAGAACGGGTGGACAAGCATTGCCGAAGGGCCAGCCGTTTTTCCCGTTGTTCTTCCGATTTTACAGTCAAAAAACAACGCGCACGGCACATCACGTAAGAATTACAATGAAATCGAATAAAAGTTCGAACAATAGAATTTTATGGAGCAATCCCTACTGGGGATTGGGAGGGGGATGAGGTCCGCGGATACACGTGGCCACCATACGAAAACGGGAGAAAAAAAAGGGCGGAAACAATCGCAGCAGATAGCTACACGGTAATGCGAACAATTCTTTCGCCGATACGGCCGGCACGCTCTCGCTCGATTTATCAGGACAGTTCGCACTCGTGCCGTTTTATTAACCGTAAAATGGCCGTCGCCCCCTACGCCGACGCCGACGCCGACGCCGTCGACATCATCACCGCCGCCGGCCAGCCAGCCGACTTTGACCGGCCAATTAACGCGACAAGTAGCGATCGACCGCAAAAAATAAGCGGACGCCTCTGCACGCGCAGGTGGACAGTTCAATCAGCTCTCTGCATCAGCGAATAATAACACGTTACCTGGACGACCAGCGGATTAATCCCTTCGTTACGTTTGAATCGAGCGTGAAAGGCAAAAGCGGCAAGACCCTTTTCACCGGGCGATGCGTTATTTTCTTCGATAAAAATCGAATGTACCAGAGAGAAATTAAAAATGAAGGACGGGCCAATCATTGAGCGAGTGGTGTGCATCCGTTGAATGAAGGATGTCGAACTCGTAAAATTGTTTCGAGTGACTGGACAAGGATTCTCGTTTCTCCGAACGATCCATTGTAGCTACGATACAATCGGAAAGTAGGTTGACGACTCTTCGGCCATATTCGTCCACTATGGTTTTTAGTATCGTCGGAACTTAAAGAAGATTTTTATTTCGCGCACTGAGTGACCCGATGAAGGTTGATAGGGTTAATTAAGCCTAGTGCTGCATATTCCTAGCCGAAACGTTCCATGTGACAGAATATTTGTTTGCTCGTCTGAAAATCAATGGTAATTCGTACATTTAATGAAGATGTAATTAAATTGAAATTGTGATTGTAATTCTTCAGTTTTACGAAATTGAAGGATTCCAAAAAGGATGGCACGTGTGTTAAAGGGTTAATTATTAGGACACTGTTATACATCTTTTTATAGTTCTCTTTTAATAGCTTTTCACCGAGTACTGAATATTTTTTCATACCACGGGGTCAAATATTATACGTTCCACCCAGAAAAACTGAAGGTGACCTACATATCTTGATGAAACGGCGAAATAATAAAAAAATAATTATTACACTACACGCACCCAACGATATCATCTTCGAGACATTGCCTCGTGTAACGAACGATTCACGAGCAGCCTGCAAGATGGAGGAATGAACTCACGAAAATTGTCAAACTTAGTTTCTTAAGCTATTACCGACGATAATTATTGGTGAATTGAATAAGGTCGCGAATATTTCATTCCCTTAATTATCTTCCCATCTTCTTGCGAGGAAATCATTAGCGCCAGAGAAAATCTACGAAGAAATAATGCGCGAACATTTAAGTGTTATAAAATGAAATTACCGTCACGAAAATTCAACGTTTCCTCCCCGCGTAACTTGATTGCATCCCGCCTCATAAATACATTAAAATCCAAGCGATGTCGTCGCGAGATCGCGGTGGCCGGGGCTGTTCAAAAATGAAATTAGTATTTCCCGGGCAACGCGATTAAAAATCATCGATTACCGTTTCCCGATATTCCGAGTGAGTTTCTTCAGTAATTCGCATAAGTCCCGACGCGATAGAAAGATGTCGCGTCGCGACACAAGATAGAAGCAAAATATACCCTCATTCAAATACAAGCAGGTCCAACTTCAAGCGATCCTTCGGCGCCCGACCTGCAATAAACCGGAGTTCCTGGGTACTTGCACGTTAACACTTTGTTAACCGACAATTTCATGCAGAAGCTATCCCCTGCCATCGGTTATTATTCTATAATTAAATATGAAAGCGGGACAATCGAAATAAATTTCAATATACTACAATTATACATAATGAATTGAAATGAAACTTTGGACATACCTTTCATATAACTTTGAAGATTTTGCTTTTGCAATATTCCATATTGCCCTATGTTTCAAAAACTGAAATAACTAATGCAAGTGTAAACACGAGTTAACTCATGACCGCTTAACAATGTGTTAAGTTCGCGTTGGGCATCATTGAACGAATCGTTGACATCGCAAGCGCGAATCTTTGCCCATACCGTGACAAAGGGGTCGCGCCGAAGGTGGTCGGCTTCGCGCCGCGGGATCAACCTGACGGGAATTGAATCTCGAGACCCGTAAAAGAACGGTGTCGCGATAAAACCGAAAGAGGGTCGAAAATCACGGCGCCCGGTTCGCCGGGAATAACAAACGGTGCACCGTTTAAGGTCAACGTGTTTTTTTCTCCTCCGTTTCCCAGCCGGCTGCTTCGGCATGCAGCAGAAGCGAGGGAAATTTGTCATAAATCTGGAATAAGTTCCGTCCGAGTTTCGAATGCATACTCGGGAACACTCGGGAATGCCGGGGATAAAAAAGAATGGAAGAAAAGAGGGAGAAAAAAGGAAGAGAATTTTTCGAGATCAGGATTCGCGGACCCGCGAAACGGATTTTGAACGGGGTATCTCCAACGTTCCCTGGAAAAATTGGAGAGACACGGACACAATGGGAGACGAAGGGGGTTGCATACGAATTCGTGGTTTATAACCGAGGACTGTTTCCCCTTTTTCCAGGAGGACTCGAAACCTCGCAAGGATGCGGGACCGGCTATCGTGGTACATGGTCTTCCTGATCCTGCCGACAATTCTCCTGGCCAGGTCGCTCGATAAAGGTAAATAATTTTCTTCATGGCATTTAACCTGTCCCCTACCCTCGCCATTCCTCCTCGGCCCCAGCCCTTTATCCTCTGTTTCCCGGCGATGATATCAGTTTTCCTTGCAACCCCTCCGCCGACCATGGTTCCTTTTTCCTTGACACAATTCTGGACCTCCCATTCTATTTCGAAAAATGGCCCAAGCTTCGAATATTATACGGCGCGCCGTTCCCGATTTAATCAATAATTCTTCGATCCTGCGCATGATATTGCAGCATAGGATTGCTCGGAAAGTCGCTCGTTCGCTTGTTCGTTCTGCAAATATATTTTCGACGCCGCGGTCTTTTTGTAAACATCCGGTTTGCCCGTAGAACATTTTTTCTCGTCGTTAGCGGGAATATTTAAGGTCGACTGCGGCGGTAAAACAAGAAGGCTGCTTTTGGAAAATGTCGTTTTTGAAGGAAGCATTGGATATATCAATTTCAAAATTTATATCTTTCTGAAGAAATATGACATGTGCGATGAATCATGAATAGCATTGTCTGTATTTCCAATTTGATGTACTGTGAATGCTTTTTGCTTTGGTTTCGGATATTTCTGACAATGAGGCATGCGAAACAAAATGCGTGAAGTAAAGAAATGGAAGAGTAACTTTGAAAGCAAGTTCCACGACATATAACCTGTTAGAAAATGATTTAACAGACTTAAGAAAATTAGACTTCATAGATCATTCGAAGCTCCATATCATATTTATCCCAGCATTTACTTCAAAATAGATTTACTTTATTTAAATGCATACGTAATATCAGTCATAAAAATGTGCATATCTCTTCTTCCAGACACACTAACACCCATCAATAAACATCGGATCGCTTCCCCACCTAGTTCCCCAAAATTCTAATAGGCACGAACCACCGTAGATTCGACGATCGATGTACGAGCGACCGTAATCCGTGGATCAGGTGATCGCAAGCGACGCCGGGGCATGCTTTTATCTGCCGCGCGACAAATAAACACCACCCCGCACCGGAACGAGGCACGAGATCCTCCAAAGAAGGGGGGAAGGGTAAAAAAGAGAGAAAAGTGGGATGGGGAACAGAAACCGTCAAAAGCTCGCTAACCTCGCGAAAAATCCCTCTAGTGCGCACTTGCTCTCCCCACTCAAAAGTGGCTGTGAATTGGGAATACTTAAACCCGGAAAGAAAAGAACACGATCCTGGCCAACTAACTGGTCGAAGAGAAGTAGGAGTACCTTTCCTCCATCCCCTGCAGAACCTCCCCCACCCAGTCCTTGTCTCGTTGTATAAGGTTTCGCATTGTCTCGCGGAAACAAAAGGCAGGTAGCTTATGCCCTGCATTCAAAAGCTCACAAAGTTCAGTCTCAAGTGCTTGTCTTTCGACCAGACCCTGCTGCCTTCCGTCCCTACTTGCCACCCCCCCTTCTTTTCCGGTGCTTCTCTATTTCTCAATTTTCTTCCTTTCCGTTTATGGATTTCTGTATCCATCGCCACCCCGTCCGATCTCCCTCCGTCCTTTACCACCCACGCCAGGACAAGGCCGCTCCTTAACGTTCTTCATCCAGCCAGCTCGAAGTCGACGCTAGGGTATGCTGCGCAGAATTTTCCCTATTGCCTGGCATTTCCTTTATCAAAGCACTCCGGTTACTTTCAAAATACCTCCCCTTACACCCTTTCATCCCGCCAACGCACGACGAACTTCTCCTCCTCATCCATTTCGTTGAGAACTCTCCCCGTAACCTAACCCGGAATTCCTGTTCCGCGAGCGAGGAACGTAATTAATTAATATTAACCGCGCGGAACTACCTTTTTCGACTGGGAACAGGTGCACGCATCGTTTCCAAAGCGTCGGTCGAGATGTTTGACTTTGATCGTTGCCGGTCTACATCGAGGAAAACTGTCCCTCTTTTGACTTTCGAGTGGAATTGGTCTTTCGGGGTTAGGCCGCGCGACACATCGCGGTGAACCGGCTTCTTTTTAGCTCGTGGATTCGTAAGCTCCGTCGAGGAGAGTCGACGAGGTTGTCGCTGCTCGCTTGGAAATTGAGGCTTGTTTACTTTTGATGACACGGTTTCCCCCCGTAAGGTCGCGTGGGTTGTTGCAATGAGATTTGGAACAGCGGAAGTTGTTGAATCTTCATTCTCGTTAGATAGAGATTCAAAGAAGGAGTAATGGCAAGAACGCGACGTTATGGAGGGGAATACTATAACCTCGATATTGTAGCCTCGTCATTGTTTTCCTGAATCTTTTTAATGGAAAAAGAAATATGTAATTTGATGAGTCTAAGAACGTGAGTGTAAAGTAAGCTTTCTATTTGATAATGAGGTTATTCAGTTTTCTTGAAATAATTGACTAAAATCTGTCTTTGCATATAAATCCAGTGTGCATTCATTACTGTTCGACGTCGAAAAATAAGGAGAGCTTGGAAAGAATTTAAGAATACTGTTATTGCACTTCCAATTTATTGAAGCTCTTAAAAGGAGAAATAAATTACTATTCAACTTCTGTTTCTTCAAATTGCTTGAAGAAATTTAGATTTTGCATAAAGATCCTCTAGTCATCAGCCGTCGCTCACTGCAAAGTATGTTTGGCTTCATGCACCCTCTTTTATAGCTGCTAGAGTTGACCTAGAGCTTCTATAGACCTTACCAAGGCTGAATAGCGTCTCACAATCTTCGACGCTATTCAAAATCAGGACTGGCTGAAATTTACAGGAAAAACATAACGAATAATATTTAAAATACGCGACACTGTATCGATCGCATGAAATAATATTTAAACAGGAATTATTCCTATATCATTTACACAAAAACAATACCTACTTTCTTTAATAATCTCAACTATAAAATAAAAAAATTCAATCTCACTAATTGCCTTAAACATTTCTGGCTAACGAAGGTTAACTGAGAAAAGAATTTACGAACCAAGAAACCATAATAACAAAAATAATTTACTTCAGACTACACGTGATTCAAAATAAATGAACTACCATTCGATATGTTATTTCACATTATTTCGAGTATCTCGAAATTCCCCGATCACGAGCGAAATATAAAACGAAATTTTTAACAAACTGCGTTCTCACCAACCAATTCTCGAACTGTTTCAGACCGCCGCGTACCTTACATATCGTCAGATTGGAAGGCGCTATGGTTCAGCAATTTCGACGAGCTGCAAAGAGTGAACGAGGCAAACGACAACAACACCGTGTCCAACGTCACGGTGCAGTTGGGCGGCACCGCCTTTTTGCATTGCAAAGTTCGCAATTTGGCGGAAAGAACGGTATCCGACGCCGAGGTAAGAACACGCTCGTTTCGGCAGCGGTTTCCTGCGGACCGCAAGGAAGCTGATTAACGATTGCGCGGCTGTTTCAGATATCCTGGATACGGCGGCGTGACTTCCACATTCTGACCAGCTCGATGTTCACGTACACGAACGATGAGCGGTTTCAGGTGTTGCACCCCGAGGGCTCGGACGATTGGACTCTGCAAATCAAATACGTTCAAGAAAGAGATAATGGAACGTACGAGTGTCAGGTAATTCCGCTAATACCGTGACTAATTGCAGTTGTAAACTCTCGGAGTAGGCACACTGATCCACGAAAGTATTTAACCCTGGCCATGCAGCGTCTTGTGTCGGTTTAGTCCATGAGCTGACGACTACTATTCTTTTTATAATTTCTACATTATAATCTTGCACTGTTCGGTTATTTAATTAACATAATAGTCCTTAACACGTTGAACGCCGCACGATTTCATAGAACAAAATACACAGAATAGAGAAAGTATAATATTAAATCATTTGATTAGATGGAATTATAGCATTATTTATAATATAGAAATGCTTCCAAATAATCATCGTTTAATTGAGTGAACAGTGGTAATTCTATTTGGTTGAGGATCACCGGTTACCCCTATGGCATTCAACGTGTTAACAATAAAAAAAGTAATAAAGCAACAAAATATAAGTTCAAAATGTTTGGTGTGTTATATATTAAGTTGACTGAAAAATTCTGTCAGTTTTTGAATTAAAATTATACATTATCAATACGTTTATTAATATTTACTGAACAATATCATTTCCATCATTACTACAATTACCTCTTCTCGACATGATGGTAATTTATGGATATCATTCCTGTAGAATGACTGATGTTTAGATATTTGAGATGACATTATCCAACACAATTTTAACCCTTAACGGTCAACCATTTTTTACTAACTCCTTGCGAACGGGATTATCTCAAACTTCTAACATTTCTTTTCATAAAAAACTAAATTATCCATTGAAGTCTTAAACACTAAAAGAAAAATACACATGTCAGTCTCTCGTTTTTTGAATAATAAAATTATTTCTTCACACTTTTGGCTTTTAGATATCAAAGCTCAAAGGATTCATATTTAATATACTTATAATAGAAATGTTGTACTCAAGATCTTCAGATTTCTATGTGCATGATGCTTGGGTTACTGAAATCAAATAAGACACGTCTGAAATGTCCATTTCTGTTAGAAATATATCGATTTTAAATATTTTTGTGGATAAGTGTACACGTGCGTTCGTTCGCCGAGGAAATAGAGGGTGAAGGGGGTGAGTTTGGACGTGGCTCGTAACGGAGGCAGTAAAAAATGTCAGATTATGATCGTTAGGAAGTTATTTTGTACCACTGGCTGGTAATATCGACACTTTATACCTTCCCGTTTGCTTTATGGTTTTCAAATGATCGCGACTCAGGCGCATTTAAAAATTTGTACTTTTAAATTTAGTGCCGTCCGGCAGTTAGGAATGAACACCGCGGGTCCGTAATCGTAAAACTCATTGTTTCAATTGCGCCCACGATTGCGTGACGCGGGATATATTGTTACGGTTTGTTTGAGAAGCCTCACTTATTTTATTTTGTTTTAATCGAAACTGTTACTCTTTTGGAAGATATTTTATCAACGGTTCTTCGGAAGTATTTTTTACGAGAAGGCACATAGCTTTTATCACTGTTTCGATAATTAGTTAGAAAAATATTAAAATGACATTTACCGAATTTTATGGAACTTCAATAATAATATTTTCCAACTATAATTCAATAAAAATATTTCCAGTTGCCAACGAATTTCTGTTTCAATGTTCACTCGATCGATGCAGGCATTCAACAAATTTATCACAAAACTATGCGTCGTTTGTGTTTGCTTACAGGTCTCAAGGAGTACAGGGATATTATCACACTTTGTCAATCTAAACATAGTAATACCAGAAGCATTTATATTAGGGAGCGGCGAACATCACGTCGACGTAGGATCCATAATAAATCTCGTATGCATGATAGAAAAGGTAAGAAACCTTCTCGATCATCCAATACTTGCAATTTGTTACATTTACTTTATTACTCTCACAAACCAATGCATTTAAGAGCAAAAAGAAATGCTGTAAATAAAAATAAATGTTAGAAACCCATTTCACTCTTACAAGGAGAGGGCCAGACATAAAAATCTGTTTTTGAATAAAATCCTATGCATGTTATAGTACATAGCTCAAAACTCTCATGGCTTTTTTAACAATAGTCCTCCGTTTTTGACAAATTAGTTTAGTACAATCTTTACAATTAGTACAATGAAACAATAAAAAGAACAATGTAACAAAATCATTCAATATGCCTCGAACGTTCTAAGCAATTCGAGTTCACCTCAAACCGAATGGTACACTAGACCAACGCGAAAAATAATCTCCCGCGGTGTACCGTGTAAACCAGCAGCATTTAAAGACCGAAGATTTCTACGGCGGCGCACAATAAATACCAGTCTCCATTGAAACCCCTCGTAAATCGAGAAATCTACTCCGACCGCGAATATACGTCCCGACCGAACTTCAAAAAGCGAAAATGAACGCTCCGCGGCGCGGTGATATCTTTTATCACACGCCGTTTCTCGGAAGGAATTTCTATATCGTGCACAATAAATATCCCGTCTATTTACGCGTGCGCCCCCATTGATACATAATAATCGTGTCGTGCATACGTCGCGGAATAAAGCCACGCGGCACGGAGCCCATCCGCTTAACGAAGGTACATAGAAACGCACAGCTTGCAGTTCGTGCGAACATTCAATGCGCCTTCGCGAACGTACGGCGGAAAAACCTCTGGTGGAATAGGCGCGGCTTAGTCACGAATACAAGAGTGGAAGTGCATTAAAGCGGCATTGCTGCCGCTGCAAACTCGACACTATCGGGAAACGAAAATAAAGTGTGGCGTTCCTTTTTTCCTCTCTTTCTCTTTCTCTCTCGTTTCTCCCCTTTCCTCTGTCTTTCTTTCTTTCTCTTTCTCTTTTCGCTATCCTTTCCCTTTCGCTTTTTCCACTGCTCGACATCTCTTTTGCCTAGCTGCGTGGCCGGTCGCAAAAGGAAACCCATTTCAAAAACGTCTAATGTATGACGAAAAATGAGACCCACTCGTCGATATCGCGAAAACAGGCTCAGGAATTCAACCGACCGCCGAATTGATAGTATTACGAACAACGGGGCTTCCGACTACCAGCTGTATAAGAAGATACGGTATTCATAAGTATATTGAATAACGTCGTAAGCCGATCTATATAACGTGCTCCCCGGCCACTAATAATGCTTAGACCGTCAACGGAGTAAGCGTTTCCGTGACACGGGGAAAATCAGGGGAAAATCTGAGGTTGCGGGTCTGCGGGGTGAACGACCCCTTTGTCGATCATATAAGAATACAATTGTTTTCTTATTAATGAGCGGCATTGATCGTCTGGTATTTACACGCATATTTCGATACGCTTTTAGCGGGGTGTGAAGATTTAAGCGTTTGATAGGTGGATATTAGGAATTTTTTTTAGGATGAAACATTGTCGGTTTACTGATTCCTTTTTGTATCAGTGATTATTCGTATTGGAAACAGTCCTGACAGAGAGGATTGAAGAATCCGTTTTGTCAAATATTTTAGAATTATTAAGTGTAGTAACATTGCAAAGGTTTTGAAAACAATACCTAATAAGATATAGACAGTAAATTGAATTTCGTAGCAATGCAGTTGTCAAAATTCCAAAACACTTCGGTGGGTCACGATTTGTGTAATTAGAGTTCTGCTATTCCTTTTTCGTTTGGTTTACGTCGTATAGTTGGAGGAAGAGCCACGGTGAACGTAATAAATTGTTCTTGAATAACGAACGGGAATACGAATGGATTGAATTCCGTACAATTTTCTTGATGTTGTGTCAGTTGCGAAATCGTAGAAATTCACGACGAAGGGAATTCGCACTTTGTGTATTCGAAGTTCCTGGAATGACAAAGGGCGACCCGTGATCCTATTCACCGCGATGCGAAATGAGAAATAGAGGAAGATCGACGTTAGGGAACCATATAAATTATAAAATAACATTAATTGAAGGAAGCACCGGCAATATCAGCTTGCGCGGGCATCTGCGCGAGACTTTATGAAGTTTCTGAAAGACAAATCACGGTAAGCGGGAAACGATCTTCGAGATCCTCGTCGTAGGCTTTTGGATAAATGGAATAATAATTTAACCAGTCCCCGCAAGAAATCTCGGAACAAACAAGAATGTTTCAAAGTATTCAATTTCAATATTCTTGTTCCTTTCTTCTTCTGCCTTCGAGCTGCTTGATTAAATAAAACAAGTGATAAACACGAGGAATTCATACTGCCCGGAAACATTAGGGGCATAATCGTCAACCGAGAGAGCAAGATACGAATACTATTTTCCTTCGCCGTGCAGAAAATCTGGATTAAAATTTCTCGCACGAAACTTATACCCACTATCGTAGTGCCATTTAATAAATCAGGAACATCTTCCGTGTTTCTAGGAAAACGTCAATCTTTGAATCCGTTCGAGAGTAGTTCTCCTTAAAATCAAAAGAAAACTTTACATTTTTCAACTCCTTGTCTTATAATAACGCGTCTGACTTGTGGCAAAGATTTTAAACGGAATTTGACAAACATAAATATCACTCGATACTTCTTCGATTATTATACTTTGTAGCAACCATGGGTATAGAATATGCCTATCATTTATCTCTTTCTCCAATAAATTATTAATCACAAAGTAATTATGTTTATCGTGGTTACGGAAGAAATCATAGGACAAAAGGTTAATGAAGGTTGCACAAGTAATGCCGTTAATTCTAGACAACTGAAAATTTGTCTAATAGTCTACCAACTCCTGCCACTTACACGAATACGAATTAAAAAGCACACTTTCACCACCGGCTAAGATTGCAAACATTAATTTTGAACAATTTTCTACATTTTTATAAAAAACAAACAACACATCTCTTCAGTTATGCTACTTTGTTTGAAATAAATAAAAATCCATGAGTAGAACGGTTACATAGTTACAGAGTAACCCTGATTCAAGTTCAGTTGTCTAGTGTTAAAGGGTTCTGAAGCAACGTCTCCAATAACGACTCGAAGGTCGATCGCAAAGAACGATTTTTCTTGGCGGCGGGATATTTCAGCTGCATATTGCTGAAACGAAGTGAAGGAGAGATCTACTCACGTTCAACGGAATTCAGAACAAACGGCTGACTTCGACGTCCCATTTCACTTCATCCACTTCGCCCGAGTCGCACACTCGTTCCCGTCAGAGAAATGCATTCGATTTAGACACCAGACACGCTGAAAATTGTCGCGCTAGACAATAACTTCTCTTCCCCCCTTTTTTGTTCTCTCTTTCTCTCTCTCCCGCATTGTTCGAACGGCTAACAGAGTAAAAAAAAAGTTGCTGCGATGAAAAATGAAAAAAAGTGGGTGTATCGGAGGGAAAAAAGGGCTGCTACACTATCGCTATATTGACACCCATCGATCACTCGCAATAATTATCCCAGTTGCACTTTGAAGAACATTCTAGATTGAATATCGAATACAACAATGATAATTACTATTGTTTATCCGCTTACTACGATCATTTGGAAAGGATACTTCCACCTTCAAATCCTTCCCCTCTTTCATCTAAGCTAAGCAATGCAAATTATTCTTTAAGTTAACTTAGCTACTAACACGTATCCGATATTAAAATGTTCCAGATAATCAAATATATAGAAAATTTTGATTTATTAATTTAACACTGAATTTCCTTTCTAACACTACAAAGACTGATGTTCGTTCATTTAGATTTTAGTAGTTGCAGATTTGAAGGTAGACAATTTAGATAATCTTGTAAATACGTCAATCAAAATTGTAAATCTAATATTAAGGAAAGAAATAGAAGAGTAGGTAATTTTTTAAGTAATTTTTTAGACAATAGGAAATGAAATATTTTCTAATGTAAAAATTAGGGAATAATATAACGACATTTTATGAACGCCTGTAAAGGGACGTCTGCTTTCATTAATTCCAGAGTCCAACACCGCCGCAGTATGTATTCTGGTATCACAATAACCGGATGATAAGTTTCGACACCACGCGAGGCAGCGTAACCGTACAAACGGACGCCACTTCGACTCAAAGTCGATTGTCGATTCGCCAAGCGGTGGAATCGGACACAGGCAATTATACGTGCAGCGCCTCAAATACCAAGCCGGCGTCCATCTTTGTTTTTGTCACGGAAGGTAGGCATTTTGACGTTCTTCGCATTTTTTCATCAATCTGATGGATCCATTTTTCATTGCAACTCCGATGAAAACAATTATCGCGTCATTCAGACATTTAACACTAGATTTAATGCATTTGATACGATTAACATGCAATCCTTATAAAAATTGTAACAATAGATTTTTCCGATTTCTCCATACATTCATTACATTATTCAAGTTAAACGAAAAGTTAAAAGAAAATTGAAGTCCGCCACCTTGACGGGCGCGGTAGGTCTAGTAATAATATGTTCCCAATTCCATAATTCATATATAAATCACACATGTTTAATAACTAGTGAAACCAGTTAAAACTAGTACAATGACTTTGTATTGTTCTTAACAAAGTGCCAAAAAGAAAATATTCTAAAAATGCTTTAACTGAAAATATGGTTATTTTCATAAAACTCTTTCTTTTTCTGTGAATTGAACTTAGTATACAGGCGATAAATTTGCTGATATGTTGTTTCTCAACGAAAATTGTCGAATTTGTTTCAGGTGACAAAATGGCAGCCATACAGCGCCGCAAGACATCGGCTGCGGGGAAAAATTTCAGTGAATTGCTAGTACTAATTGTCACCATTGCGATAGACGCCGTTTTAACGCGATAAGCGTTTCTCTTCGATATGTCCATAATTATTATTATACCGTTACTTCCGTTTGTGATAGATAGGCTACTATTCCGCGATTTTATCCCTCTATTCACTCTCCTTCTTTCCCTTCGCGCTGAACATCCTCATGCCATGCAATTTCTTGTTTCTCTGGTTCTTTTCAATATTCTTTCTATCCCTGTATCTTTCTCTTAGCGTTCTATCCCCCATTCTCATCACGATCCTTTCCCCAATTTAATTTCTTCCATCATCACTGCGCACCCTCCCTCCTGCGTATCCCATTTCGTCTACCCCGTTCTTGATTTCATCGCCGAGGTTGCCGCCGGCTGAACGATTTCCCCGTACGAGATTCTGCCATGGTAGAACACGCGTGCACCGTAACTCGCGTGCGACCGAAATTGTTAAAACGTTCGCGGATAATTGCAATTACTCTCTTTCTCTCTTCCTTCCTTGCCGACTTTCTTCGATTCCACTTGCGGTCATGTCCATTTCCTTCGGCGCGGCCCACATCAAAACCTCGAGCAATCAAAGTTATCTAACCGCGGTGATCATTTTGGTAATGGTAGAGGTAACTGTTACTTTTCCTCCCTCTTCGGACGGAAACATAATTCTCTCGTAATCGCTACACATGACTGAGTTACATGAAACGCGGATCAACCTTGTAATATAGAGAGTCATGGCTTCGCTAGGCCAATTGCCGCGTAATCAGAAGCAATAAACAGAAACATTGTGTCGCGCGCGATGACCTCGTTATTCTTGGCAAAAAGTGTTTGATCCAACGAACTAAATATTCATAAGGAAATTTTAAGTGGAATATTGCATAGGTAAAGTTTAAGGAAGATGGTAACATAAAAATATATGTATTCGCTCATTTTCCAAATACAAAGAAAAATTCTCATTCGTCCCTAGGGCTATTATTATTATTAAAACAACATATTTCACGTTTATCGCGCGTACAAACAATTTCTAGAACGATTTTATTAATTCGTACGATTAAGTACTTTCTGTCAACACTTCTATCAATTCTCGTTTCAGCCTCTTGTAAAGAAGTACAAGCATTATCGGCACTGAGATATTATTACGAAATTTCTTTTCCCTCGAGAGGTCATGTCGAGCCATTACACTTTAGAAAATGAACCGGCGGCAAATCGTTTCTCGGCCGAAAGTTTCACGAAACGAATTGTTTCCTCCCGTAACATCTGTCCGATGTCAATTTGGTTTCACATTTCTCCGCTCGATTCGTTCTCCTCGCAACTTCACAACGAGTTCTCGAGATCCATTCAGCCGTCGTCAAAATGAGTAACAATTCCACGTCGTGGCAGTTCCCCGCAAGTTTCGCGGCGTTTTCGACCTGATCGCCGCGGATACGCCGAGCAGACACCGGGGTCGTGCGTGAACAGGAAACTTTTCGAAATTGATACCGTGTTGTCGGGCATCGCGTCGAATTTACGAGACCTCGAGCCACCCTTTAATCACCCTCGGCCCTACGACCTTCGTTCCCGCGCCGGTTTTCGTATAATTAATCACCACTTACCTCGTTTCAATTTCATTTTATCGACGATCGCGTTACCGTACATGCAAACGCGACCACGCCGCAATCAATATCCAGCGCGTGCACTTTCTTATTCCTCGCCCAGATTCACTGGAAAATACGACCATTGTCGCGAAAGCTGATGCACAACGGTACCTCGATTTACGTAGCACATTTTACGTGCGATTCTTGTTTTGCAAGGTTAACGAATGCTCGTTTCTCGTATGTGAGTACACAACTAACAAATTTAGAGCTTCTCCTCAGTATCTTAGTTTTTATAGTATAGTATGTTTCTGAATGACAAGTATATTATAAGGTTTATTTTTAATTACTGTTGACGGTAGTTTTGTTACTGTGATAGGATATTTTCAACGAAAGGTTTATTTATGAAATATTTTTATGGATTATTTTATTTGTTCCGAAATCTGAACATGTTTCAAGCTTGTATATCGCATGTATGAACATGTTTGTTCTGATACTCATTTTTGTTTATCTTTCTGAATTTATTCATACTCTCTGCTATACCGAGTAAAACAAATTTGCGTGGAATGTATCGTGCACTTAAATCGAGAGACAAGTGCATTAGGTGTACCAATAAGGAATCAATTATTTCTTGAATATTTAATTATATATAATATATAAATTATATATAAATTAAGAAGGATATCTAATTTCTTTAAATTTATATCAAACAATATTGATTGTATTATATGTTGGAGAAATTCACTTTATCAGTGCCAAAAATATTGTATTCCAATCGAGGATCAACAAAATATTTTTCTTTAGGAGATATTTAATTAAGGAAAGAAATAATGAATTACAAATTGGTACACCTTATGGAATGAAAAAGACTGAGAGCCATCAGGAGGAGAACAATTGTCTCTTTTCTAAGGAAAATAATCAAATTTCAAAAACATATCTCAATCGACAGAAATTTTGTAAAATTCAACGAACGAAACCTTTATTCTTCGTTTAAAAAAACAAAAAAAGAAAAGTCGAGGGTGACAATGGGCACATTCCGAATCGTTTCGCATGGTTTTACCATTACACTGACTTTTATCATCCCGTAGGAATCGTTGCGTACTCGTCGACATTTCGTCTGCATTGAAACGGAACGCATTCTTTCGGAACCTACACCGAACAACATTACATATCGAGATTATGTTAACACTGCCATGTTATTTTTTAAAAATAGCACGAGAATACTCCATCGCATCGTCAGGACGTTAAAAGATCTCGAACGGCGAATGCAGACGAAAGGTTTCAAAAGGGATCAAGTAACCAATATATTGTACTTATTTATTATTCGCGTTTAATAGGTGTCCAGGTGGAAGCGAGAAACAAAAAAGAAAGCAACAAACTGCCGTGTCGGTTGACGTAGCGAGACCGTTTTGCGTAACGAGCGTTTCACGGACGCTCGTCGAGGCGAAGCAAGATTTTACAATTCTTCGAGATAAGTCTGTGTATATTAGTTGGAGTTCACGGATGCGCGCGCGCCAATCTTGAACCATGTATATCTAACTTATCAAAGGAACATCGGGAAACTTTTTCTTGCATAATTACTTGCTTTTCCTTTCAACGAAAAGAAGGGAAAAAAACAAACGAACCGACAAAAAAACATGGAATGAACCTTAACATTAAATTACGTTTATTTTCGTCGTACTAAATTTCATTCGTTTAAATGGGGATCAAGAAAACCGTCAGTTTGTTTGAATTCTGTAAATTGTGTAAATCATGTAAATCCTTATATAAATAATTGTATTAAACGATCGTTTCTTACCATACGTTTTGTGATCGCATTCCGTTCAGTGGAACACGGAAAAATACGGATTACGCATGTAAACACCGGTTACATTTGCGACAAGGGGAAATATCTGTTGCCAGGAGAACGCTCCGTTCGAGCAACGGAACGTCCGAACATTCGAGGCTGCACTCTACTTCGCTAGAACAAAAGGCGTCAGTGAAAAGTTGCTCTTTGTTCCTTTGGTGAACACGCCGGAGCTTCGTGCTCCGCGCTCGCGGACACGAATTCGCGCGAAGATCGTCGCGTGCCACTGTTATCGATCAAATAGAGGTGAAAGAGCGTACGATGAAACCGGGGGGAAGGTGCACGGTAGAAGGAGCAAAAGAAGAAAAAAAAGAAGAAAAAGAAGAAGGTGGAGAAAGATAAGAAGAAACGAAAAAAAGAGAAACAAAAAGCGTAATAAAAGGAGCCACGACTCTTAGGCTTATTCCGATCGATTCATTCACTCACCACCCTCACTCTACGATTCATTTACGGCAATACGTTATCCGCCATGATACCCCCATCTTGATTTTCACCTGCGTTTACCACCACCACCCTCATCACCCTCCAACCCTCCCTCGAACGAATTTTAGTCACGCAATATCGAGGTACTCCATAAATATAGACCTTTTAAAGAAGAAAAAAACGAAAGAAAGGAAGAAGGAAAGAAAGAAAGAAACTAAAGAGGAAGAAAAGAAAGAATGAAAATGGTAGTCAATCGTAGTCATTTAATAATTCTGATCTCAACTTACGAAACTAGGGTAACTTTAACCGAAAGAAACGGTATTGTATGCGTCGGAACAAATCGTCGAGGTGGAGGACGAAGTGTTGGATTAAATGTTTCTACGGGATACTATTTGATTTTCCTCGGATAAACGAGAATAATGAAAAAAAGAGAGAAAGGGAGAAAGCGAGAGA